GACAACGCTGGTGGAAGTCAAGTGCTTGGCACAGTCGCAAAGAGGTAAGAAAGAGCCGGTCAAACATAATTCTCTTGGGGATCAGGCACGGTGGGCAACACTGAAGCTACCTCATTTACTGACATCAAAGAACAGCATCTCGGAATATCTCGTGAACAACAACGTGCAACTGGGGGCAAGCTACAAAACCTCCAAGATCTCAACGGAGACTTTCGACAAGGCGTACAAAGTTGCCGCCGATTACGTTAATGCCGATGTCGGTGAAATCGGTAAGGGTCACCCATCACCCCACGCCCAGATTCAAAGGGAAGGGCCCAACATCCATGGTCACATGTACTTACACTCCGTATTAGTAATTGCACCATCAACAACTCAAGCTTTCCGTAACCTTGCAGCAGCTCTAAAGTTGAAGGCTGGTGATGAAGTTATTCTTTCCGAAGTTGACCATGAGTCTAACATTGACCCTTGGCTCCACTATGCAACTCTCGCGGGCGCAACGGTGAAGTGGTGGGCGCCTTCTGATCACTCAAACCCCAAACTCGATGTGGTGGCACTTCGGAACCTCTTGACACCGAAGACTCGTTTTGTAGCTTGTACACACGCCAGTAACATCCTGGGAAGCATTCATGATATCAAGGCATTTGCAGATGTTGTGCACGAAGTCCCGGGGGCCCTGCTCTGTGTCGACGGGGTTGCTTATGCGCCGCACCGTGCGATTGATGTAAAGGAGATTGGGGCTGATTTCTATGCGTTTTCATGGTACAAGGTAAGCGATTCTATGAGGAAACCAACTGTGCGGGACAAACTGACTGTGTACAACTCAAAGGTATACGGTCCGCACATATCTTTGCTATACGGATCCTTCAAGGCACAGGAGCAGCTCCAGTCACTCGGACACTACTTCAATCCGTCTGGAACTTTGATGGACAAGCTTGAGCTGGCTGCGGCTAGCTACGAGCTCACACAAGCGGTCATGCCGCTGGTGGCATATTTCGGAGATAACCCAAAGCAGACCTGGGCTGAGTTTGCTCAGCACGAAGAAGTCTTGCAGAAGCATCTTCTCGAGTTTCTGAAGTCGCGGCCTGATGTATCCATTCGAGGCGACGTTTCTTCTGCAGCTTCAACCCGGGTTCCCACTGTGAGTTTTACCGTAAAGGGAAAATCATCTCAAAGCGTCGTAGAGGGAGTCGAGGCCCAATCCATTGCTGGGATTCGGTGGGGTCATTTCTTCTCAAAGCGGCTGGCCGAGAAAATCCTCGGTCTCGGCGAAGATGGCGTTGTCCGAGTGAGTTTGGTGCACTACAACACCGGTGAGTTACGGTCTTCAACCCTTCTGGATGATCCAGAGAGCTGACCTGTCTTCTCGTATTTAGTAGAGGAGATTGACGTGATTATCGAGGCTCTGAAGAAGGTTCTTGGAACTTCATGAGAAATTATCTGTAGACATAACGATGTGGGTAGAGAAAACTAGGGTGCGAAACGTTATTCTATTGTAGTGTTTGAACTTGCTTTGATTTGAGTTTTAAGGAATTAGTTGGTTTGAGTCTTCTAGCACCTTGTCTGAACCCAGCGATCCATGATGGAAGATAAGCATAATCTAAGCTAAATGTATCCAAACCTTGGCAAAGTAGGTGCTACTTACTTTGATCATCTCACCCGGCAAACCTGCTTCATTCTGAGCCCGCACTAGATCAAGTCGATCTCAGTAGACATGAAGTTGCAACATAGATACATGAACTCAGTAATGGAGATCATGTGGTGTAATGAAGCATTACCGTTTACGGATCAATCTTCCAAATTCTTTGGTATCCAATTCCTGGACGCCGAAACCCGCTAGATCACGATTGAGAGGAAGAAAAATAGAGAAAAAGAGGTGGTTGTATGCGTATTTCCTCGAGGCTTGAAGTTGCGTAGAAATCGATAAAAGCGCTTGTTGCTACCTGCCCGGTCAGCATTTCTGACTTCCATGTCTGTGTCTTGTACCGACCGACGTTGAATGTGTGAGCCAAACATGAGATTCGGTTTCTAAAACTGACAACAGGTGCGTCTGACTTCCCGTCCTGATCCGGGGGCGGGGGCTTGCTGACCGATGGTATTCCCAACATGTCGATTGACGCGCTGGGAACCTAGTCGTTTGGACCCCTTGAAGTTGGGCCGAGACTTGGGCCCTTGTTGCAAACACAGACCAAGCATGAAGACCGCTGTGTCACTGCCACGTTGCCGCCCCAGGTAAAAGCCCACGTTATGCAATGTCACAGCTGCATAGTCAAGAACTTTCTTTTCCTTTGGTAAGAAGCTCGGATGATAGACCCGCGTCTAGAACATAGGGCATTTCCCGCCAGATCAAGCTGATTGATACATATACCTTAAAGTGCCAGTGGGACCAAAAACACATCCAGGGTGTGAGCATCTCAACTGATAATCTGATTAACAACCTATAACATCATTAGTCATATTGTGCTGTGATTTGTCGTGTTAATTCCATTTTCAATCCTCCGAAGATTACAACCGGTCAAGATGTACGTGCTCCCCAATTGCAGCGCATTCCCTTTGCCATCCGTAATAGCTGGCTTACTTACAGCTATTGCAAAAATAGGCTTCCCGACCCACACACCAAGTACACAGGATTCCAGCAAATCCACAATCCAAACCGAAAATGGCCCAACCAGGTTTTGACGAAGCCTCCAGTCTGGCTTTCAACTGATTTGCGCGATGGCAACCAATCTCTCATCAACCCTTTGGTAAGTTTAACGCATGTATTTGGCAATCAAACCTATGGGAGGCTAATTTTCTTCATAGACCATTGAGCAAAAGTGGGAATATTTCCAGATGCTCGTTGAAATTGGTTACACCGAAATCGAAGTATGCTTTCCGGCCGCATCCCAAGTCGAGTTCGATTTTACGAGACGTCTGATTGAGACGCCCAACATCGTCCCTGACACTGTACGCCTGCGGGGTCTTTCTCCTACGCGAGAAGATTTCTTGGCTCGCACCGTCGCCGCTCTCCGTGGCGCCAAAAGAGCGTCCGTTTGCACTTATATCTGCGTCAGTGACAAGCAGCTCAAATACCAGGGCTTCACACGAGAGAGAGCACTCGAGCAGGCTGTTAGATCTGTTCGATATCTGCGATCTATTACCAAAGATGACCCGGAATCGGCGGCTGTAACGGACTGGACCATGGCTTTTGGCCTCGAGTCCTACAACGAAGCCGACCACGATTACGCTGTGCAGATCACTGAGGCTGTGAGAGAGGCCTGGGAGCCTACTGTGGAGGACCCTTTGGTCGTGGTTTTGGCCACTAGTACCGAGGTTGCTACTCCAAACGTGTTTGCAGACCAAGTCGAGACCTTCCGAGCCTCTCTGTCTGACCCCGAAAAGATTTCTATCTCAATTCACACGCATAACGACCGTGGATGTGGTGTTGCTGCAGCTGAATTGGGCATGCTTGCAGGTGCTGACATGGTCGAGGGATGTCTGTTCGGCAACGGAGAGCGCGCTGGCAATGTTGATCTCGTCACCCTGGCCCTTAACTTGTACTCGCGCGGCATCCACCCCGGTCTCGACTTTTCAAAACTTTACGAGATTAAGAGAAAGTATGAGAAGCTCACTGGTTTGATCGTGTCTCAGCGTATGCCTTATACTGGTGAGTTTGCGCTTCAAGCATTCAGTGGCAGCCATCAAAATATCATCCGAAAGGGTATTGCGCAACGAGTCGAGGCCGCCGAGAAGGGAATTAGGCCGATTTGGGACATTCCATACCTCCCTCTCGATCCAGAAGACTTGGGCATTCCTCTGGACACAATCATTCGGGTTAACTCACAAAGCGGCAAGGCTGCTGCGACCTGGATTCTCAACAGGCGTTGGGGCCTTGACATACCCGTCGAGCTTCAGATCAACTTTGGAGGCCGAGTCCAGATGATGTGCGAGGCCCTTGCGCGAGAGATCTCCCACCAGGAGGTTATCAACCTCTTCATTGCCAGCTACGCACTTACGCCAAGTGAGAAGTACGATAGTGCCTCCAACATCGGCAACATTTCTGTTACTAGCGATGGCACATTGCAAACTGTTGTCGGAATGATCAATCCTGCCGACAGCTTCGCCATTCGTATCGATGGAACTGGACCTGACATTGCCTCCGCCGTTGTTAGGGGCTTGCACTTCATGAAGGACGTTAACGCCATGGCCAAAATTCATCATACCCAGCAGCTGTCTGAGCGGTTCGATGGGAAGTACTGCGTCCTGGCAACCTGCGTGGAGGAGGATAAGACCACATGGGGATACTTCATCGATGAAAACGAGGAGAATGCCCAGGCAATGGCGGTTGTTTCGGCGTCATTGGTAAGTTATTCTCTACTTCGTCTTTGTCTTTTTCTATCACTAACATCAGTTATAGCACATGTACCGTCGCAAATTGTCAACCCTGCCGCTCAAGAAGCAAAACACTATGGCCAAAATCGCAGCCTCAAGTGTAACCCAGACAGCGGCAACAGCTTAAGCGCTTTGAAAGGTTTAATAATGAGGAAGTTGAACTCCTGCACGGATGTACTGGTAAATAAAGTGCTTGCCTGTAAATAAAGATGAATGTCATAAAGTCACGACCTGAACAATGAGCTAGTAATCTTGGAAGCGTGTGCGTTTGGTGATTCTCGTAACGGTTCGGGATGAAACGGGGGATTAAGGTACTAAGTTAATTGAAAGCTCTCGGATATGATCACTTTGAAAGGACTCATAGTCGTCAGTTCATATGTCATGTTACAAATGCCAGCAATGTGCGATTTTGAGCAATAGACCTCGTCGGATAACTCTGCGGATAATTGAGAGAAATGATACGTATTTAACGGAATGAACGTGGATTGAGCCAGTTCGCCAAGTGAAATGAAATCTCATGAACAAATAATCAGACCACCAGACCCAAGCGTGCGTATTTGGCAACAAACTGCATAAAACAACAGACCCAAGGTGCTCCTTGTACACTATGGCCGTCCACAATGATTTACGTATTAATCTTTATCCTTCTCAACGATAGTTTCCGTGGTTGTTTCGGTGTTTTCTCTGTCCTCAGGCTCGGTCACTCCAGTCCCGGCTGATGTGACTGGCGAAGGCTCACAGGTTTCTGCGTCTTTTGGCTTCTTTTCCAAGATCCTCGTCCACTTGACCAAAAGTGATGCAATTGTCATGGCAATACCAGCCGCCAAAGCCATGTAAAACACTTGAACAATCGAAAGGTTGTAAAGTTCGAGAACTTTTGGTAGCAATGATGGATCAACGATGTGGCGAAGCTCGGTCGCGCCACTTCGGATGATCTTGTCTACGTCGACGCCTTGTACTGGACGAAGGTTACCTTGAAGCTTGTTGAGGAAGACCGCCTGCGCAATGGCAAGACTGATCGCACTGCCCACCATGCTGCTGAAGAGCATCATTGAGATGGCAGTTGGTGATAGCTTGGTCTCGACAGCGTTGTGGGCCACAACAATGGGCTGCTGAGACGCCAAAGCAGCGAAACCGGCCAGTGCCGAGATCCCCATGATAAGGGAGTCAGTGCTGGCCATGGTAATGGTGCTGAAAAGACCAGATACGATGGCCGTAAGAGTACCACCGAGAAGCATAACAGGGTTCGCGCGACCGATGGTGTTTGCCAGAAGGCCACCTGCCATCACACCAACAGCGGAGCAAGCGTTTAGGGGTAAAAGCAGGATGCCAGAGCGTGCGGCTGAGTAGCCTTTGATGACTTGGTTCCAAAGCGGGATCTGCGGTGTGTTAAAATCTGGCTCATAGCAGGTGTGAGGGACACCACTCGATGAAGATTGTACTCACGTAGTAGTCAAACAAAGCCATAGCCATACCAGCCGCGACAGCAAAAGCTGCGGCGAAAGAGATGCTGCGGTTCTTGAACAGTGTTAGGGGAATGACAGCGGCCTCGCCCTTTCGGTGCTCCCAGAATACGAGCGCCACGAGGAGAGCGAATCCCACTGTCAACATGCTGATAGACTGCGCGCTGTTCCATGCGAACGTGTTCCCTCCAGACTGAACGACGAACAAAATGAGAGCAATGGCCGGAGTTAAGATGAGAATGCCGATGCCGTCAATCAACTTTAGCTCTTGGAAAATCGTCTTCCAAGGCTTTCGATGGGTCCTGAGCAAGAAGAAAACGACCGCACCAGCCACTGTTCCCATGGGTACATTTATCAGGAAGCACCATCTCCATGATGCGTTATCCGTCAGGGCACCACCAATGAGAGGACCAGTAATCTGGCCGACCAACTCCATAGCACCCAAGACTCCGATCATGAGTGGGAGACGGGCAGGTGGTAGAATTTCGGTTACGAGTCTGGCATCAGGACAGGCTAGTCAGCGAAGGATATTCTGAGCATTATGTTGAAGAACACTTTGACGTACACTAGTGAGGTTGATACAACTCCAGAACAGCCTAGGCCAGAAAACGCCCTACCAACGATACACATTGTAGATGTGTTCGCTAGTCCGGCAAGCAGACAACCGAGCTCGAACAGGAAGATTCCTGCAATGTAGACATGTTTGTGAGGGACTACTCGGTTAAGGGCGCCAAAGACAAGTTGAGACGCTGCTGCTGCCAAAAAGCTGAGCCGTATCTGTCAGTTCGTGGGCGAGACTGAGTTGGGTGCATCAAAAACGCATTCAAACACATACTAGGCAGATCCAAGCCAACCAACATCACCAAGACTTCCAAGATCGGTCGTAATTTCAGGAGTTGCTACGCCCACAATTGTGCCATCCTGTATTTCGTCATACGTTAGCGAGTTTTCACTTGAGTATTCACAAGAAGAGTGGTATGCAATGCCATCTACACCCATTTCGTAGGTTCGGCTAGAAGAAAAGTCCTTGTACACACCATGCCAATCAGTCCAACAGTGAGGGACAAGGCAATGCACACCGCTAGTGCAGAGAGAGGTATTCCGAAACATGTTCGCTCTGGTGTCTCCAGTGAATCAGTATCTTTCGCGCTCGTCATCGTGCCGATTGCTATGAGCGAGTGTTTTGGTTGTGATGTGGTAAAAGAGTGATATGAGTTTAGGCAGCCACTTTGAAGGGATTGAACTGGAGTAGGTTGATGGCAATTCGTTGAGACAAATGTAACATGGAAGTGGAAAGTTGGCACCGGTCCCGTGGCAACGGATGTCTTGTCTTAGAACTCCAGATATGACGGTGGGACGGGGTCAAACTTAGAGTCATTCAAGGATACATAAGAGGCCCAGATGACACCCTGACAAATGGCATGTCGTGCTCGCTCCCGTGTTCTTGAAGCACCAGCCGGATCCCGACCAAACCGCACGTGCGGATACGAGTGTACCAGGTTTGAAGTGTGGCAACGTTCCTTCGCCCTGAAAGCCTGAGACTGTCGGCATGGCTCAAATCTCCGTGGCCACTGGCGGACTCTCGAGGTCAAGTTGGAGTTATTCAGCCCAACTTCGGCTCTGCATTGCTGCCGCGCGGGCCGCATATAGATTCGATGTAACTCCTCTCACACCTCCCGTGCAGGATTTAGGAACCCTCGGTATTCCGATTGTTTGGTCTGGGTCAGCAACATCTGCAGTTGCGTGATGACCCGGCTTACCCGTGGTGGTACTGCTCTTACCATATTAGCCCTAGGTTTCCGGAAATGATATCTTGCAGCAATCTAAATTCCCCGTCGGGCTCGTCCTGCGTTTGAGCCACGCCGCAGCCAGGGAATATTGCTGACCTTGCAGCTTGGCCCCACGATCCGGATCCGTCTACGGCCCCACTTCGCTTGCGAAGAATCCGGAATCCTAACGAGTTTTTCGGCTGAGGTTCGTCTGATCATAGGAACAGGACCGGGGTAACCTCCGCAGAGGCTCACTCTCGCGTCGAAGCCGAATAAAGCGGAACCTTGCAGTCATGTCAAGCTAGGTCGACTGGCGATGTGACCCTGCTTTTCGGCGAAAGGTGCGATGTCTCCTATTCGCTGATATTATGTATGAACGCACCACATAACATAAGTCTGGGACCCAAGGTGGAACTCATGGTGACATGCCGGAGATTGAAACAAGGTCACGACTCACGATCCATACGGGCTTACTGAGCTTGTGTAGGAAGCTGGAGTCACTGGAGCCCCGAATGCGACTGTTGGCGATTCCTTCCAAACCCTCGCGTTCGTGCGCAATGATGACTGCACTGCTTGTCGAAAGGATCAGTCTACCGTCTTAAGGTTTGGGCAGGGTCATTCACGTTGCCCTTTTGGGCTTTGAGCAACAGTGGCCGACGGCCAAGACTCCCTGGTAACACGCTCTTTAATTTCCATCAACACCGAGCGTTGTTTTGGCAGTGTCAGCTTTTGTAATATGACAAGAGAAGACGATACTGACTAGGAGTGGGGGAAGGAACGGAAGATTCAATCACTCAGATAATAATTACTGCATGAAGCCACTTCACCATGAGCCTAAATCCGTGGTACTACGATATTCTTCGCTGAACCTCGTTTTTCGACTCTGCCAGTCCATCTGTCCTAAGACGACTAATCAACAATCCTTCGGTAGGCTGTATCATCAAATTACTTTTTACCATACAAAAATGAAGTCTACTTCGAAAAAGCTCGTGGTCTCATCACAAGCCCTTCGAGAAGCCTGCTCCAGGCTCAATTTACAGCCCAACTCCTTTCTCAAAACTGCATGGGCAATCACAAGCCACGTGCACACAGACTCCGACAATGTGAATCTGGCAGATCTGCATCAGAGTGATAGTCATGAAGATGGCCTCTATGTCACGATGCGCAATCTCCACAGTGGTCCTGATCCCGTCACGGTCGGCGCCGTCTTACATCAAGTGAGCCAATCCACAGTAGCGGAAAATGCTGGTGTTTCCTTGAGACTCAGCGATTGTCCTACCCGGTTTCTCGTCACAGTGGATGAGCCACCTTCGTCAATCGCCCACATTGCTCCTGAGGAGGTGAGTAGAATTGAGAGACGCCATGTTGACACTACATCACTAATCACTTTCCAGCTTTTCTACACACTTGTGCTGTCTGATCAAGAATCAAATCAGTGCCACATCAATGTCTCCGGTGCAGCACATGAGCAAAAGATGGAGGCTGTGGTAGCCACTTTCCGAATCATCTGCCATCAACTGCTCAGTCCCAGCATTAGCTTGGATTTGGGGATCGACCAGATTGACCTGTTGCCTTTCCATGAAATAGCGCAGCTCTCCAGGTGGAATAACAACATTCAATCAGACAGTCAAGAGTGCATTCACACCGTTGTCACTGCTCATGCATTCCTTCGCCCAAGAGACTTGGCGCTCTGTGCTTGGGATGGTAGCTTCACCTACGCCGAGTTAGACTACTACTCCGAAGCTGTGGCCCGCCACTTTGTTGCCAAGGGATGGGGTCAAGGCGCCTTCATCATCTCCAAGATGCTGAAATCGCGATGGAGCATGGTTGCCATGCTCGCTATTCTAAAAGCTGGCTGCGTCTTTGTCCCTGTGGATCCTCGAGCTCCCGCAGACCGTGTGGCTGCAATTGCTAATGAGGTCTCGGCCAAGTGCCTCATCACCAACTTTGTCGACGAGACTCTACCAGACTTTGGGGATGATATCGAAATCATGGGAAACCTCCCACAAATAGCTGAGATCAGCATTACCGACGCGGAGCCACTCCCTCAGGTGGCCGCAACCGCTCTCGCAACTGCATTTTTTACTTCTGGAAGTACGGGAGTCCCCAAGGGCGTCCTGCACGAGCATCAAGCCATTTGCAACGGCATCAGAGACGTTCTTCGACCCTTTCACATCGACCAACACACCCGATGCTTGCAGTTTGCTTCTCCCGCCTTTGATGTCACAATGTCAGAGACTCTGACGATCCTTTACGCTGGAGGATGCGTATGCATTCCCAACGGTCAGGAGGTTGTTGATGACATCAACGCTAGCATGGCGAAGCTTCGAGTCACGCATGCATTCCTCACACCGACTGTCGCCGCGCAGGTCGAGCCGACAATCGCTTCCTCTCTTAGATATCTCATCGTTGGAGGTGAACCTCTGCGGAAGTCGGAGGTGATTTCGCTGAGTCCGAAGTTGAATCTCATCAACACTTATGGCGGCACTGAGATGGGCATCTGGGAGACCTCTACACTCTCATTAACACACGAGAGTGACAGTCGGAACGTGGGCCACACCGTAGGTGCCAAGATCTGGATTGTCCACCCTCATAATCACGATATCCTTCTTCCCATTGGTATGCCCGGCGAGGTTCTTGTCGAAAGCATTGCACTTGCCAGAGGCTACTACCGACCGGTCGACAGACGAGCATTCATCGACGAGCCCAAATGGCGTGGCAGATTCCCGAACCGTAACACGGCTCGGTTCTATCTCTCAGGAGACCTAGGACAGTATGAAGCTGACGGAACTCTGATGCTACTCGGTCGAAAAGACACTCAAGTGAAACTGAGAGGTCATCGTATCGAGCTGGGCGAAGTTGAACACCACCTTGGCAAGAGTCTTCCTGGCCAAGAACCCGTTGCTGAAGTCGTCAAGGACTTGGCATCATCCAAGGGCTCAACTACTCTGGTGGCCTTTGTTGTGTTCCCCGGATCTGAAGGGGAACAGCCCAGCGAACAGCAACTCTCTGCCGCGGCAGAAGCTAAGACGCGAGTCACAGTCGAGCTCTCCCGTTTGTTGCCCGCCTACATGATTCCAGCTGTTCTCATACCCATTCCCTCCGTACCTTTAACGGTATCTGGGAAGACCGACCGTCGCGTGCTCAGACTGTTGGCGCAGCGACTGTCGTCGAGCCAACTGTCAATCCTTCATGGTGCTCAAGGGGCTGTCCAAGCACTGGAGACTGAGGCTGAGCACCGATTGCAATCAGTCTGGTCTTCGACCCTCGACCTTGATCCCACCTTAATCGGAAAGAATACCTCCTTTTTCGAGCTCGGCGCAGACTCCATCGCTGCAATGAAAGCGGCCAGCGCGGCTAGAGCTATTGGTTTGCCGTTGGGCCTGTCAGACTTCTTCAGGTACCCAAAGCTTTCCGATCTAGCCAAATTTGCATCAGAAGTATCGACTGGAGCGGCTGAGAAGCAGGTGGCGCCATTCTCACTTATCCCGCTTGATGCTGCTTTGGAGTTACGCCGGGAAGCTGCTCAGCAATGTAACACCTCTCCTGCGGACGTCGAAGACCTCTACCCATGCACACCCCTTCAAGAAGGCCTGATCTCACTTTCATCCAAGCATGACACCTCAGAGGCGTACATCAGCAGGAAGGTTTTCAACCTGCCCAACCATATCAACATGTTCCAATTCGAGGAGGCATGGAACATCACGGCCCTCGCACATCCCATCCTCCGTACCAGACTTGTCAACACCGCGGACCAAGGGATGCTCCAGGCTGTGGTCAGAGGTCCTTTGTCTTGGAACTTCGGGAACGATCTGGATGCGTATTTGGCCGGAGACGCGCAACAGCCGATGACTTTCGGCACGCTACTCTGCCGATATGCCTTGATCGACGTGGACTCGGGGGCACAGAGGAGCTCAGTCTTCGTCTGGACTATTCACCATTCCATTTATGACGGATTGTCAATGTCCATCATCCAAGACGCTTTCTGGAGGGCGTACAGCGGTCAGAATATTGCCCCTTCTCCCCCTTTCGGTAACTTCATCAAGTTCGTCAACAGCATCGATACCAATGCTTCGCAGACTTTCTGGAAATCCTATCTCGATGGGCCAGACTTGTCATTCTTCCCGCCAGTCCCATCCTCCATCTCTACGCCAAAGCCCGACTCGACCGTGGTACGCGAATTTCCTTGGACTTGGAAGCCGACGAATGGTCTGAATGCATCTACGCTCTTGAAAACGGCGTGGGCTATAGTTGCGGGCAGGTATTCCGGCTCTCGGGACGTCATCTTTGGAAACACTTTGAGTGGCAGGAATACCCCGGTAACTATTCCAGGTCTCGACGTTATCACCGGGCCGACCATCGCGACCGTTCCAATTCGCATTCGCTGG